CCCATCCCCGCACCCTTCCCGCCCCTGGAGGCCGCCGGACGGTTCCCGGCTCTCAGTCCTGGGTTTCTCCGGCCCTTCAGCACCATCCCCCGGCGGAAAGAGAGGAAAACGGGGAAGCAGAGAGGGAATTCGTGCCGCGAATTGCAGAGAAAGAAGCCATAGAAAAACCGATTAGAGGCACACACAGCGCTACTACCCTTTGGATGGCCGGACTCCCGGGCCGGTGTGATTCTGTCCCAATTGAGGTTGGCCAGAGGGAAGCCTCTCATTCCCTGTCTCCCCCGTCCAACCCCAGCCCGCCCCTCAGTATGCCCTGAGGCACCCCATGCACTTGAGCCCCTGGACTTGGGGTGAAGGTCCTTCTAGTGGTCAGCGCCATCTAGAGGCCCTGGTGCCCTGTCTTGTGAACAGCTGAGGACAAGAAGCAGCTCCCGGTGCCCAGCACCAAGGCTGGGGTCGGCCGGCCCAAGAAAAGCGTTGACGGTCTGACCACAGGAACGGATTCTAGAATCTGGGCAGGACCGGGCCCTGAAGACCTGTCCAAAGCCTTCCCCTAGAGCAGTGATGGCGAACCTTTTGAGCTCGGCGTGACAGCATTTTGAAAAACTCTTAACTTAACTCTGGTGCTGTGTCATATATAGAAATTTTTTGATATTTGCAACCATAGTAAAACAAAGACATATTTTTGATATTTATTTTATATATTTAAATGCCATTTAACAAAGAAAAATCAACCAAAAAAATGAGTTCACGTGTCGCCTCTGACACGTGTGTCATAGGTTCGCCATCACTGCCTAGTGCATGGCCTGAATCCCCTTTGGTTGTACTGCTAGGTTGTTGCCCTGCCTAGGCCTCCAAGCACTAGTTGCTCGGTTCAGCTGATTAAAATCCCTGTGTGGGCCTCAGATGGCAGCGACACCAGGGACTCTGGCATAGTACCCAGTTCTGGCAGGAGTCACCACAGCCCTGGCCTCAGTTTTGTTTTTTTCTTCTCTACATTTCTACAGGCTGGAGTGTTGACAAATGCCACAAGACACATCTTTTTTCACATTATCCCGGTGGTCTGAAATTACCAGTGTGCCCAGAAGATGTACATATGAACAGGACTTAAGCCAGCCTGGCAAATATGAGACTCCGGCCACTGCAGGAACCCGGCCAGAAGCAGACTAAGGGCAAAGCTAGCAGAGGAAGGCTGGGGCCCACAAGAGTTGTGTTACAACAGGACACCCTCCAGTTCTCTTTCACTTCCTTAAAATAGCAGCAGGCAGGCTTCTGTGGAGGAGGCTGCCGCAGTTCAGAGTTTATGGGTGTTCCCAAGTCCCACATGTCATTGCCACAGGGGGCCCACTGCCCAGCCCCCAGCCCCCAGCCCTCAGAAGATGCTAGTCTGTTCTCGGAACTATGCCATTGCTTTAAAGAAATCACTTTAAAGAATGGTGTCAGTCACTGGCTCTCAAGCGCATTTGCACTGTGGAACCACTTTGGTGGAGGGGACTCAAAAATGTACCTGAGTCCCACCTCCAGAAGTTCCGATTTGATGGTTTGGGGGTTTGGCCTGGCATTAGGATTTTTGAAAGCTCCTCAAGTGCTTACATGCAGTAAAGTTTAAGAACCATTAGTATAGGTCATAGGGACTTTAATCTGGACTAAAATCCAACAAAAACCCCAGAGCTAACAGGCGATTTACCTGGAAGAAGCCCAAAGTGTACAAAAGTGGTACATTACTAGGGGCTTCCTGGGGAAAATGTCTTGACCTAAAAGAGTAATTCTAGCGGCAGGAATTTCAGGCACCATGTGGGTGGTTAGTCAAAAGTGCACCCTGCAAAACTATCAATTCAAAAAAACAAAGCAGGTCACAAATGAAAGTCACCCTCTCCTCTGAGCTTCCAAAGGAACCATGTGCCCAGGACTCGCACGTAGCTCCACTCCCTAATAACTCTACTCTCCCCTCCTCTGAGAGACAGCTCACATCCCTTCTCCCTGTGAAGTGGGTAATCTTCTTTTACCCATAGGGTAGGGTATGTCCCCAAACCCATGGACCAGGTAATATCATCATGTGCATGCATACCTGCCTCATTCCACGATGGATTTGCGCTTTCTGTATCCCTCTATTAGGTAATCGCAATGTATCCATGGGGTGAGTAATCTTATTCTGCCAACGATCCACTCAAATGCTACAGAGAAGAAAACCTCTCTTCACTGCGTATGGCCCCGCCTGAGCTTGGCAGAGTCTGGAAAACAGCTGCAAGTATACAAAGCAAACCCTCTCATGTGACCAACCTGGGAACACAGGGGCCTCCGCACATGACACAGACTGGCACCAGAGCCTGCACTTGTGACCCGAACCTGGCTGAATTGGACTAAGGCGTGGGAAAGATTTTGAAGAAGCCCCTCTGGCCAGGCACAGCTGCCCTCTGTCCCCTGTGCCACATGGCACGCCTGCTGTGGCAGGGAGTCACTTGCAGGCTATTTGGCTTCCATCCAGATTCCAGAATATTTACCAAGGGCCTCAGTGTATTGAGGCTTGTTCACTGTAAACCCAGGCCTGAAACTGCTTTGCTTGAGGGCATGTAGGCAAATTAACCTGATGAAGTGTGTTTGCTTAGTGTCAGCTTTATTGTATTTCAAGCAAGAAGAGAGATGCTGGGGAATAAAGACCAGATGAGGCTAGAGGTCGGGTCCTCATCCGCAGACTGGTTTTCTGGAGGAAGTAGCTTCTGAAAGGCTTATAGGAAGGTCTTGTGTGAACATGAAAAGTGGTTAAAGGGAAGACCATTATTTTTGGTATGAAATCATGAACGTATTGCTTATAAAGATTGGGTGAACAAACATACATATCGAGTGTCCCCCCAGAAATGTATACACACACTTTGAATAATTATAAAAGCAGTGTTTATTAAAATACATTTCATTTTCAAAATTGAGCTGCCGGCTGTTAAAGGGTGCATACATTTTTTGGAGACACCCTGTATTTGGTGTTTCCTTGGGCAATGACAAAACTATGGGACTTGCAGTATTTTATTGCTCTGCCTTTCATTTTGTAGCTATGTTATTTTCAATGGCTCACCTAAGTTCTTCTCATCTCTAAAATGGCATCTTTAAAATTTTGTTCTGCATACAACACCATGATAAGAATTAAATGTGTAACAAAGGTGCAAACACTTTGCACCTGGAAGGTGGTATTCAAATGCTAATGTGTTTACCTTATTATTATATCTGCCTAGCTTGGTAAAGAGACAGAGCTAGGGGAAATCCAGATTAAACATCAACAAAAAAAAAGTGTACCTTAGTTAGGCAGTAAACACGGAAGAATATCAAAAGGCATTTGTGAAAGAGGAAAGCATCTGAGCAAAGGCCAGAGGAGGGAAAAGCCAGCAGTATCAGAGGATGGCCTGCATGTCTGACTGCTTGGAGGGGTTGGGTGGGTGGAGTTAGAGTCAATGCTAGCAAAAGAAAAGGCTGGAAGCAAACTGGGTCGGAATGTGGAGGGCCTTGATCGCAAGACGTTTGGACGGGTAATGGAAGTTGTTGAAAATTTCTGAATGCCAGACTCTCCTTTAAGCTCTTGGAAGATCTCTAAGGCAGCAACATCTGGGAGGAGGCACATGCATTCCGACTTCTAGACCCTCTCATTGTGTGTGATTGGAGGGAGACAGTATTGCAAAGGGGTTGTGGCCTCAGTGTCCTGGGGAGCAGTTTCCAAGGCCAAGGCGCTCTCCCTCTGGCTGTAATGCGTTACTTCACAGGCTGCTTTCTCTTTGTCTGGAGTTTGTAAATGATCTGGTTTCCATCATTCCAGGCATAGAGCTGCTTATCTCTGGCATTGTAATGGATCATGGAATGACTCCTCGGCCGCCTGGGAAAGAACAAGTTGGGCAGATCCTCCTCACTGATAGTGCCCCGTGGGTCATAGACACAGGTGATGCAATGCGGGCCGTGGCCACCAGAACGATAGACCACATAGAGGACCCCGCACAAGAGGAACCCCGCTTCAGCGTCCTGGCTGCTGCATGGAGTGTCCCATGAGTGTTCCACTCCAAGTGTGCCAGGCTCAATTTTTGTGAGAACCAAATGGCCATGGAGGCCTGGCCCTGCGTGGATGGCCCAGAGCCCGTGCTCATCCACGGCCAGGTCAATGTAAGTTGAAGGGGAGTGCTGGTAGACCAGGGCTCGGCCTGCCCCTCCTGGGAGCAGCATCCGATCCTCCACGGTCCTCTTCTGCAGATTGTATTTGACTATCTCATTGGGAGTCCCTTGGTTATGAAAAAATAGGAAACCTTTGTAGACCACTTGGCCTGTTCCCTGCCAGGAATGTGGTAAGATCAGCTTCCGGGGGCCTGGCTTGGTGCTATCTTCCAGGAGGGCCTGCATGTTTGCAAATTCCCGAACGGTGTTATTTCTGGATCCGATTAAGAAATAAACCTTTGGAGAGTTGCTGGCAGCATCTTTCATCCAAGAGCCATCTGTGTCCAGAGTCTTCTTCACTATTTTCAGAGACTTTATGCCTATCAGCATGTTGTCACAGCCTGGCCAAATAGGAGAAAAAGGGAAGGTTACTTTATAAACATGAAATATCTGCTTTTCTCAAAGATGGCTTTTCCCCCCTTCATTGTCTAGAATGAAGTTATCACACAGATCAATGACAATTATGGTATGATTCAATGAATCCAATAATTAAATGAGTAAATGGGCCTCTGCTAAGGGAGTTGCTGTCCAGTTAGAAGAGTCAGCATTTCATTCAAGTTAGGATACAAACAGCCACTTGATGTCAAAAGCCCTGTTCACTCTCTAGAGCACTTGGGGGTTGAGACAGGGAGAATGACTTAGGTGTGAAGCTGCCTAATTCAATTCCATTTGCCAAGGTTTTATTGGGTATCTACTGTGTTTTTAGCATATAATACTCCCAGAACAGTGCTAAATATTAAGGGTAAAGAAATCTATTTCTGATATTGCCATGAAGACAAAACAAAACATGCCTTAGCTAAGATAAGAGACACTGGGAGCAGAACCAAATCACCCCAGTTCACCCAGCCTAGATCAACAAATCCTAATTCAATCACAGACCATGAGAACAAATGATTGTTGTTTTAAGTTATCCAGTTTTGGTTTTGGTTTGTTCCACAGTATTTTTGAAGCAATAGATCTCTTTTCTACTGTATAATCTCTCTCTCTCTCTCTCTCTCTCTCTATATATATATATATATATACGTAAATATATATATATACATACATATGTGTGTATATTCACACACACATATGTGTGTGTGATAGTTTTTCTTGTATTATTATTTATTAACTATTGTATTATTTGCCATACAAACAACTGTAAACCTACTTTTGCCCCAACACACACACACACACACATAAAATCAACACTAGATCATCATCTAGTGAAGGACTCTGGCCCTAAACTACTAGAACATCATAAGAGCTCTATTCACCCAATCATTTATTTATTCATGAACTCATGCATGCATTTAGTCAGCAGACATTGGACACCTATAAAGGCAAGATACTGACCTGGGTGTTATGAGCTGGGGGTGCCATGGGCTGAGATGCAACGATAACTTAGGAATAGTTCTTGCTTAATACATATTTGACTAACTAGGATAAAAAGCTTAATGTGAATTTTTTTTTACAAAAGAAGAACAGGGAATAGAGATGTCATTTGAGGAGGTAGAGGCTAATCTGCATTTGAATTGGCCCTTGAAGAATGACATTCTAAGATAGGTGGGAAGAACATTCCTGACAGTTAACAAAACCAAATTTGGGAAAAATCCTCCAAGATTAGTGTTAACAACATAGTATCAAATTTAAAGCAATTTGAGGCATCAAATTTATGCCTCAAAGTAGATGCATAAAACAAAGTAGTAGATTGAAACCAGATTTATGCTTGGAACCTTGAGGGTGGGGTTAAGGAAGATGGATTTTATTTTACAGGCAGATAGGGAGCTACTGCGGATTTTGAGCAAGGGTGAGCAATGATCAAGCTGTTCAACAAGATTAATTAGCTGGCAGTCATGTGTATAATAGATACTTGGGAGAGAGGCCAAAATCAGGGAAACCAATTAGAATATTTCTATAATTCAAACAGCATGATAAGGATATAAACTAGGTGGAGGAAAATAAAATGAAAAGAGGGGTTTACATTTTTCTAGCTCCTCATTGCCATTTCAGACTATTATAATTCCACTTTTGTGCAAAAAACAACAACAAACCCAACCCTTCCTTTGTAGCTTATACTGCCATCTCCTAGTCTAAGTAACTGACTATTGTCCAGGATGCTACCCCAAATGCATCAAGGGCCTGAGCTCTGCAACCTCTTCCACTCAACAGCACCTTACTTTCAAGTCACTTTAGCAACGCCCTCCCGTGGCCATACTCTGGATCCCCTCTCCCTTTAAAACTATTCCCTACCATAAATCTAAATCTCTAATATCCTACCTTCACCACCACCACCATCTTATTCTTCACTTCTCAGTCCTTTGCTCTGACACCCTCCGTTCTTCCATTTCCTCACGCTGTCCAGTCCTCCACCTCTACTTTCTCCCAGGCCACCAGCCTTTTCTTGGCCTCACTTTCTTTCCTGTCCATCCTAGATCACTGTAATAGCTCTCTGACCAGCACCTTCACCCATATATCTCTCATTACTTCACAATATTCCACTCTACAAAAATCCGTTCACACATCTGTCTCTGCCCTGGAGAGTGCACTGGTGGAGAAAATCTCACAATGGTGCATCCTGGTGCCACTACACATTGGGGGTCTCCAACCTCAGCTGAGCCCTAAATACAATACTGCTTTTCATGGTTAGCCTCACATCTTCCACATATAGCAGCTATTTTACACCTTCCACAATTATCCCACCATTCCCTTCATAACAACAGATCAACCATTTGAAAAATGGACACCAGTAGACATGAACTTCCTTGACTTCTTTTCCCTCACTTACAAACTTTTTCTTCAGTTGTTCCTGCCCTTGTTACCCTCCCACACATTTTAGAAGAGGCCATGCCATTCCTCCTGTCCAAGGCTAACACATTCACTGTGCTCTGGCCTCATCCTTTCCTGGCTTCTTCTAGACCTCCTTGATGAGTTATCACCTTTCTGTTATCTTGACTTTCTCCTTCACTATGAGTTCTTTAACATCTTGTAAACATCTTGTAAACATCTTGCCTGCATTAAAAAAAAAACCTCTCTCAGTATACACCCTTTTCAAGTTACTTCATTAGATTCTCCTACAGAATAGTCTACTTCCTCATCTCCCATTCTTTCACATCATTATAACTTCACAGAAACGACTCTTCATAATGTTACCAGGAAAAAAATCAGACCTTTTATGTCCATATCTTCCTTGGCCTTTCTGTAGCATGACATCATTGATCAATTCCTCCTTCTTGAAGATTTCTCTTTCCTTGATCTCTGTGTCACCACTGTCTCTGTGTGCCTACTTGTTTTTACCTCTGACTGCTTATGGCAAAGACAATGTCTGTGTTCATCAAATGCCATTTCATTTTCCTCATCCCTAGTTACACACTCCTTTGAAGTTAGGCTGCAGCCAGTGACCTACAATCTGTCCAGTGGGAAATGGACTGAACTGGTATAATCCATTTCCATCTTGCCATTTAATATGCTATTTTTCAGAAATAGCACCTTTAGAGTCTTAGAATTTTGGGTCAAGATGATATTAGTTCTACTGGTCATTTCAGGGGTTATCAGTTCTAATTGAGGACTTGTTGGGCCTGCTCTGTTAGTCAGTCTATTGTGAGGTGAGTGTTATCATGGGGCAGAAAGTATGAAAAACTCTGTGGGTCTCCCTCAAATACTGATGAGGTCTATATCATGGGTAGGAGAGGATGGTCTTAATAGGAGCATGGAACTCTATGGTCCTCCCTCACTGACTGGAGGGTGAGGTGGTGAAATGATACACATGTGTATAACAGTCTCTTGAGGAGAACTGGGCACGCTGAGGGCCTCCTTAAATACTTCCAAAGACTTTGGTACAAGAAGCTGATGTGCCAGTGGGTTGTCATTTTCTGCTTAATAAATGTTTGGGTTCTGTGGGTCAACTGGAGGTCACCTAGAGTTAGAGGACAAGAAATAGGGTGATGGGAGAGAAACTGGACACAAGAAAGAAAGGTGCACAGTCAGAGAAGTCTCACAGGTTCTAAGGTAAGTAAGCATTTTTTTTTTAAATCAAACTGCTTGTTACTCCAGATGTTTGGGTAGAAATTCTACCGTAGATCCTTAATCAATTTTTCACTCACCATTATCATACCTTCTCTTTCCTCAAGCCTCCATCATGCCCTCCTCACTCTCCTATGAAGATATTGCCTCTTATTTCACTGAGAAAATAGGAGCAACCTGAGAACTACAACTCCTCCCTGGATTACTGTGACAGTCTCCTACTTGGTGACCATACCTCTGTCCTTGACTCCCATAGTCCATTCCCAGCCAAAGGGGTCATTTTAAAATGTGAGTCAGATCATGTCACATGTCTGCTCAAAACTCAGGAGTGACTTCCCATCTCACTGAGAGTAAAACTCGAGTCTTTGCCTTCCAGAGCATATGTGAGCTCCCCCTACTGCCTCTCTGGCCTTGTCTCCTGCAACTTTCCTACCTTGTTCATTTTGTTCAGCTTCACTGGTCTCCTTGCTGTTCCTCAAATTATGCCAAGCATTGTCCTGCCCCAGAAATTGGACACTCTTTGTTTCTTTTGCTTGCAACCCAACTATCTTCCCCAAGATTTCTCCATGGCTTCCTCCCTCACTTCCTTTAGGTCTGTTCTCAAATGTTCCCTGATCACTAAAGCCTTTTCTGACAACCTGATAAAAAATGGCAACCTCTTCTCCAGCTCTCTATAACCCTTTTCTCTCATTCATTTTCCTCTGAAGTGCTTCCTATTTTCTATCTGACCTATCATAAACTCATCTGTTAACATACAGTGCTTGACTTCCTTCAATAGAATGTAAACTCCATGAGGGCATGAGCTCTGTCTTATCTGTTTCACTCACTGCTGCATGTCTTTCCCCTAGGATAGCAACTAGCACACAGGCCAGTATTTGCTGAATGAATGAATGAATGAATGAATGAATGAGTTTTCTAACCATCAAATCTACCAATTGCACCTAAACCCATACCCTCTGCCTTCTCTCCTGCTCTGCTTTTTCAGTGGATCTAATCCCCTCTCACTACTCAAGGATATAGCACATGGAATTATCCCTCCTCTCCTGCCTCAATAGTCTCTCCCTTCCTATTGGATCATTCCCCAAAGTAAATAGAACTTTCTAGTGTGGTTCCATTTCTCTGTTTCACTTTACAATAAAACCCCTTAAAAGAGGACTTCCCTCACCTCCAAATACCCGCCAAGCTACTCTAATCAGCTCTAGTTCTCCACTGGTCTAAATTCCCTTGCCCCTCCACTAAACCAGTTCTTGTCACGGTCTCTGACAAGCTTCATATTTATAAATCCCAGGGTCCTTTCTCAATCTTCAACCTATTCAACCCCTCGAAACTTTTTCTTCTC